CAAAACCGGATTTTGTCGAGCGGGAACTTGATGCACCGACATATATGGACTTCTCAGTTGGCGTATCGAGAATCATGACTTCAAGAAGCCGTGTGAACTTTCCCATTGTTGCAGCACCAGTTAAAGTTCCTGCCTACGAAGAGGACGCTCGGCTTATCTGGAGCTCATCGCGCGATATGGGAGAAGGTGGCGTCTTATCGGCTCTGTTGTATCTCGACGCAAAATTCGTCAACAGCGACCGCCTTCTAGCGACCCCATTTCCTTCGGGAACAGACACGCGATACCCGGCTGTATACTTGGACGAAGAGTTCCTCACTTCTGATGAACCAAATCAGTTTACAGCTTCCAGAGCCATACGCGGTCGTCTCGATACGATACCTCCTACATTGCTGGCACAGCTTTCACGAAACCTCGTCAAAGCTCTTGATCATGCGGACACAGTTGAAGAATCCGACAGCCATACGGCTCTGCATGAGGTCACTATGCAGCTCATTGCTCGACTGGGCGAAAGTGATAGACCTGGCTTGGCCACGCAGTCAGCTGTCCGTACAATCCTGGATAGGCCCAAGTCGAGCTCATGGCATCGCATCCTACTAAAACCGAGTTTCCTCCGAAGACTTCCGGCGTCGCAGGCCAGATCCTGCATTGGATCTCTTTCCGATGAGATTATCAACATGGTACAGACCAGAAACATGAACAAAGAGAGCTCAGTAGAGGGCGATGTCGCGCGACCTACTGGCGAGCCACATGTGAAAGTCACTACGATTAAGATGTTGGTTCAGATTTTCCAGGACCTTGACTTGAACGGAACAGACTACGCTCTTTCAGTGCTATCGACACTCTCAAAAATGAACACCCATGTGGACGTCAGACTCAATATCGTTAAGAGTCTTTTGGTACTGCTTGAGAATGGCTCTCGAGACCAATCTCGCGCAGTACTTGCTCTCCTGGAATTGTTCATACCAACAGCTGGATCTTTGAACGAAAGACAGCCGCTGGACGAAACGCAGTGGCTGCAGTGCGAACAAGACCTTACGCTCCCCGAGATTCAAGCCGGCATCTCGCTCGAGGAAGGGTCAGAATCACCGGTTTTGGTGGCTCTGATCCAATATTTCTGTAACAAGAAGAACGATACGGTCGAGTTCCAGCAATTCGTAGATCGAGTCTTGATGCCGGTACTGCAGACCCTCAGAGATCATACGACGAGATGGGCAGCATTGTTTCTCCGAAAGTACGGGCTTGAAGATGCGTTGCTTATGGACGTTCGCATCCCATCCATCCCGCGAGACCCGTACGTGAACAGGCTGCTACTAAACGAGAACAACAAGAAGCCAGCTCATGTCCCGCATACTATACTGGAAGAATATGTGGAATACCTGTGCTTTATCATCGGACCTCCGGCATCTTTGCGAGCCATGAATCAAGGGCTTGTCGCTGATCCTGCACTAGCTTCACTTCCCGAAGTTCAAACATGGATACGACTATTTGGACAAGACCGCAGTCTCCGGAATGGTCGCTTTTCTGCGGACTTCATCGAACTTCTAGAATACGCGGTGGACTCTTCCGACGATACAGTCCTTACACCGAAACTCATCCAAGAGCAATGTCTCAATCTTTTCACGACGTTCATATTCAACGACGGGCCAACGTACCCCAGCCTCACGAAAGGCTTCTACAATAGATTGCTAAGTGGCGAATATATCGCAAGGTCTTGGTGGCCACGACACGGCAGACCGATTCTGATGGCGATGGTGTCCTACGTAAACAACTTGCGCAACCAACGATGGGAGCGCGACCCCGCCCGGGAACCCTCGGTCCTCCCTGATACCTTTCCCTGGCGTCTTCTCCTGCTCGATTATCCATGGCCGTCACGTGATCAAGGAGAAGAGGATCGCGAGGAAACATGCACACACTTCGCGGGTCAAATAGAGGCACTCGTCGATGAGATGAGTAGCCAGCCAGTCTACCATCAAGCCCTTCGAGACCTGAATGCCTACCTTGCCACCGACATCGTATCTTCCAAGGGTAGCGGAAGAGGAGAAAAGCGATTTGGCACATCTCTATACATTTACGATAAACACGATCTGTTGCACGATGCTCTCCAGAACAATCGCATCTTGACGGCGACCTACGTAGGCGACATTCGTACGACAAGGCTGAGCTGGTTGACAGCACCGGACTTGTTGAAGGTCGAAGTTGCCTGGGCACTAGTCCAACTTGTGGGGAACGAATTGGAGGAGGACCGAGCTATCGTTAATAAAGAGACGAGGCGTAAGTTGAAATTGATGGTGGAAACGTGGAAGACGTGTGAGAACGAGGGTGTCCGAAGACGAGGATGGGAAATCGAGGAAAGCTATCTGTCCTAGCCTTACCTAGAAAATGGGCCATAGCAATAGTGCTTGCTTTAGTCAGTACGCAGAGTTTACGTCAGCTCGGATCCTTCGACGCGGTCCAAGGCTGGTGGCCTGATCAATGCGACTTCACAAATTGGCGAGCCCCGCCGGAACTTCTTACTGTAGCCCGCGAAGTGTGACAATGGCTATTCCTGAAACTATTAACGCCAACATGCGGAAGACGATGGAGGGCATGACGCCACTGTGGTACTCTTGGCCACAGCTCGCCGACCGAAAGCCCATGCCGCCACACTACCAACCACTGATCTTTGTCCTTACCATCGTCCCGTTCTTCTTTCCCAGCCGACGTCGGATCGCCATCTGCATGTTCCCGCTGATTCTTGACCTATGTCTTAGATCACCATGTTATACCTTCGGTAACCCCTCTGCCGATTATTACAACAGCTCGTTCTTCATAGCGGTCCCTCTCTGGTTCCTCGAATTCGCCATTTTGGCTCCACAGAAAGGGTCCGGTGCCCCTGCATACATTGGAAACCCGAAGCGCAGCGACACTAGGAGCGCGAGAACCTTGGATGGAATGTACCTGTCATGGCAGAAAGTTCTCAGGGTGTGTTTACTTATGGTTCCGTCGCATCGTGGTATTGGTTGGAACTGGCAGGTCAAAGGCGTTCTTGACGATCCGTACGAGGGCCTTTCGAAACGGGCCTTTGTGGGCAGACATATCCAGAAGATGATGATTGCGTACTTGCGGTCTATGGCCATGCTCATGCTGCTCGGATGGGGTTCAGCTGCGGAGGTACGACTGTCATTTGAAGCCCGCCCCTATCACCGCATGGTCGATGCGCTCATTGGCTGGTCCGGTGCGATTTGGGTCTGGGACAGATTGAACTTCGCTTACAGCTTCATCGCGGCTGTATCCGTTGGAAGCGGGGTATGCGAAACGTGGCAATGGCCGCCGCTAATGGGAAAATTGAGGGATGCGTGGTCTGTGAGGCAGGTCTGGAGTGTGGTATATCACCAAACGATGAGAAAGGTAACGACGGAATTGACCCCTCATTCAACTTTTACGTCGTCTCCAGCTTTTCAACCACCTGCAATGTGCGAGCCTCGCTAACGCAAATGTATATTGCAGATGGTCTCGCAACCCGCAGCTCGCATCGTTCGTCTCCTGGGTCTCCGTAAAGGCAGTCTCGCATCGAGATTACTTCAACTCTATGTGTCTTTCGCGATTAGCTGCTTGGTGCACGAGTTCCAAATGTTTATGGTAAAGCGCAGAGATATGGGAGAACTCGTGTTCTTCATGTCGCAGCCGGTAGCTATCACCATCGAGAGTGTTGTGCAACGGATGGCTGTTCAGACACCGGCGCGTCACCGAGGAGCCGGCCGTGACAATATTGGACCTGCATTAGCAAAGCATGCGGGCTACATTTGGGTAGTTTTGTGGTTTTCCTTTAGTCTACCAACATATGTGAAAGGTTGCAGAGACGCAGGGATTGTTCATGATGCGATCTTCGGCGACAGACCCTTCGAGGCTGGAGTTCGTTTGGCAGATTGGATTCTTCGGTGATGGGGAGATTCGCCTTCGAGCAAGATGGCATATACAGTACGTAAAACGGCAGCCCAGCCGAACCGAAATACTTATCGAAGGCAAAAGTTATAATAGAGGATGTGATTGTGAACCTTTCGAGACGAGATAGAGCCGGACTGGGTGAACGGGCATGATGATGACGAAGGAGCCCCTGCGCTATAAGCTTAGCGGCGGTCCGTGCTGCCAAACGCGTCTTCCAACTTTGGAAGGGTTTCGTGCCATGAACGACACACCGCACCTCAGGAACACAGGTGTACCTAGACGTACAACACTCACAATCGCGAAAAAATCCGTGCATCTTCTCAGCCTGCTTGGGAAAATGTTTAGCGTTCCTACCGCGCGACCCAGGTGGAAGCAATGGCATGCTTCACGACCTCACCAGCCGGCCCCTCATCCACATACCGAATATCGATCGTGAGGAGAAGCCTCCTGTCGGATTATCTCCATGGCGTGCGATACCAGTTGGTGGTTCAGGGTCTCTTGACCCCTCTAGAGTCCATGAACACATCACATTGAGTAACCGCGCAGCTGGAAGGTAGGGATTCATAAAAGAGCATCCTCCTGCTCTCTGCATTCAGGAATCACTCGTTCTGCAACTTCGCTCTTCTCCTAAATTCGCTCCATCTTCAGTAGCCAGCCGACATGTCAGGCTGCTCGCTCGTTGCCGCGGGTTTGCCGTCCCTCATTGGGTCGGCCACCCCAACCTTCAGTTATGATCGAGCTAGGCATAGCTTTGGATCTGGCGACAACTTCGGTATCCAGATGACTTATATGTCTGGTACTTCTACCTGTTATCAAGGAAGTAGGCCTACATTCACGCCCATCATTTCCAACCCGTTGCTATTGTACACCCGCACCTGCTCCTACCAAACCCAAGGCGTGCCGGCAACCTATACAGGCATTTTCTGTCAGGATGCCGACCTTTACGACTGGGTCAACATGGGTCGTTATACGATCGATAACTATGCGTTCCTTAACCCGTTCGCTGCCACTCCCCGTGCCTTCACTGCTGCGTTCGGCGACCAGCCTTCCCCAAGCACTGTCGCTACAAGCGTCGTTCAGACGACTTCGACTGCTACCAACACTGCGTTTGCGCCTGTCAGGCCTGCGGCGACTACTACAGTCTCTTCCGCCTCTGCCACTAGCACACAGACAAACATCGCTACTTCCACATTCCCGGTCACCAGTGCTATCACACAGACCTTCACTGTCTGCCCGACATCCATTCGACCGAGTTCCTCTAGCTCGTCTCCAGCACCCATTGTGCCATCGTCTTCCCGATCATCCTCCATACCGGTTGTACCATCATCGTCGGCACAAGTGTCTACTACCACCACGGTCGTCATGTCGACAGTCACGCCAACGCCGAGCTCCATCTCTTCACCTTCATCCATCCCGTCACCAAGCTCGTTTTCTTCGCCTTCCCCCGTTCCCTCGCCAAGCTCATCTGCTTCGCCTTCGGCTATCCCATCGCCGAGCTCGTCCTCAATCGCGTCTTCCGTTCCATCGCCAAGCTCATCTGCTGTGCCAGTCCCGAGCTCATCTTCTACATCTTCTACACCTTCCGCGATCCCTTCGCCAAGCTCAGCCTCTGTTGTCACCACCACAGTGGTAAGCGTCACTACGGCTACTCCATCGAGCTCCGCTTCCATCGTGTCGCCCTCGTCCTCTTCTTCCAGCTCATCCGCTTCACCGTCTCCTATCCCATCGCCCTCTTCAGCCTCCGTCGCTACTACCACCGTCGTAAGTGTGACTACGGTTACTCCGACACCGAGCTCCATTCCGGTCGCATCATCCTCGGCCGCATCTTCTAGCTCATCTGCACGCCTATCATCCAGCTCTGCTTCCTCGAGCCCTGCATCGGGCCCCGCTTCTTCAAGCGCTGCGTCGAGCTCAGCAGCCTCCACCCCTGCTTCGAGCTCCGCTTCTTCAAGCCCTGTATCTACCCCAGCCGCTTCAACCCCTGTCTCGAGCTCAGCCTCTTCAAGCCCTATCTCGAGCGCAGCTTCTTCAAGCCGTGTTTCCAGTTTTGTTTCTGCAAGCCCGGCTTCAAGCTCAGCCTCTTCCAGCCCTGCTTCCTCAAGCCCTGCTTCCAGCTCTGTTGCCATCACTTCAAGCTCTGTCACCCCCACTTCAGCCAGCGCGTCGCCATCTGCGTCTGCCTTGTCTTGCCCCGCGAGCGATGGTGCCACGTTCACCACCCCTCAAGGAGACTTCGTCGTCGAGTGCTTCATCGACCGCACTAACTCCGATATCGGTGTTGCGCCTGGTAACCCTGCGAACTATGAGCAGTGTATCCAAGCTTGCGGAGCTACTTCTGGCTGCCAGGCCGTTTCATACCTGCCAAACGGCCCTTGCTACTTGAAGAGCGGTGTCGGTGCGCCTAGGTCCAACGGTAATGTCTGGGGTGCTAGGATTGCATCAGTCCCTGTATCTTCATCTTCTTCGATGATCGCTTCTTCTGCAGGCGCTTCCTCTCAATCAGTCGCCACGACCACAGTTGTCAGCACCACAGTCGTCACCGCAAGTTCATCTTCCAGCCCTGCTGCCAGTTCAGGCGCTAGTGTTTCTTGCCCTGGCTCCAACAACTCCATGGTCACTGTCAACGGCATGCAATATCTAGTCGAGTGCGGTGCCGACTACCAGGGTGGCGATATTCCGGGCCCAATGAGCCCGACCTACCCCAGCTCCTACGAGGGCTGCTTGGCAGACTGTTCTACCACTTCAGGCTGTGTCGCTGCCAGCTACGTTATTAACGGTCCTTGCTACCTGAAGAGCGCAGCCAACGCTGCCGGTTCGAACAGCAACATTATTGGTGGAAGACTGGTCCGCAGCATCTCAACTAAGTCGGCAACTAGTGCTTCTTCGGCGGCACCTGCCTCTTCCTCTGCGGCCGCTTCTTCGTCTGCAGCTGTATCCTCGGTGGCGCCTGCTCCCTCATCTGCGGCTGCCTCCTCCTCCGTGGCTGCTTCCTCTTCCGTAGCTGCCTCCTCGCCTGTGTCTACCTCATCCCGTGTTTCCTCTTCTGTCTCCTCTTCTTCTTCGGCAGTAGCAGCAAGCTCAGCTCCAGTCACTTCAGCTGCGCCCGCTCCCGGACCCTCTACCGTTACTGTCACTACGACGATCTCCAACACAGCATACCAGTGCGCATGCACACCTGCTAGCGTCTTCGCTGCACCATCAAGCACCCTTGCTGCATCATCGAGTGCTCCTGCTGCATCATCGAGCGCTCCTGCTGCGAGCCCAACAGGCGCTACTAGCTGCCCTGGTTCCAATGGCTCAATGGTCACAACGTCATGTGGCGCAGCATATGCTGTCGAGTGCAGCTCTGACCGCTTCGGCAATGACCGTAAGTTCCCCTGTTCACCGTTACAACGCACACAAGTTAATATTATATCTAGTTGAAAACGGTCTCGTGTATACCGACACTTACGAGCAATGTCTCCAAGCCTGTGACAACACTACTGGCTGTGTCAATGTTTCCTGGGTCATTGGCAAGCCTGGTGCTTGCTACATGAAGGGCAGCATCGGTGACGTCCGCGTTAACTCGAACATCATTGGAGGACGCAAGCTTTCCGGCTGCTCCACCTTCAAGCTTCACCGCAAGCGCGTCGCGTTCGCCGCTCCCAAGGTCAAGCTGAACAAGCGTGCCGCGGTTGACGACTCCAAGGCGAAGTTGGAGAAGCGTGCTGGCTTCTTCGGTCCTGACTTCACATTCACTCAGGCTCAAGTCACTGCGACTTCGACTGCCACTGCCAGGACTACCGTTACCACGTAAGTACTGTATTCCTTGCTTCCATCATGCACTCGCTTATCAATGATAGTACTTCGACACCCGTCTCCGGTACCGCTACAGCGACGGTTTACACTCTTGCCTCTGCTACGATCACCTCCACCACAAGCGTGCCTACCACCGTCTTCAACACCGTCAGCGTTACCACCTGCCCGACTGCTTCCCCCACACTCTGAGCATCGGGATATCGCTCCTGATACATGCAGACACCGTCGAATGGATCTCACTGGTCAACGCTAGCCAAGCCAATCGTAGGGCTTGTCGTCACACGATAATATCAACTATCGTCGCTCTTTAACACACGTATCGGCACTGTTCGGTGTTTGCATAGGGTGTGTCTCAATAATAGAAACAGTAGACAGTTCAATAAAAGTTCTTGTTTTCTTGAACAAACATGCGCTTCGCTGCTACAACACGTAAACTACATGGTCTATAATTCCTGTTTGATAAACATTACCTCAAACCTTGCGCTCGTCATAACTTCCTCCAGACGCTCGACAAAGAGAATCGAAACAAAGCTTGTACACATCGAAAGTCGACAAGCGATTACTAACCACTCGCCGAGACAGCGTTCCCATAACGCCCGCTCAATTAATCATGTCAAAATCCTCGGACTCGTCACCACCCCACCCGCCGTCCCGAACACCGGCTCCAGCCTCACACCACCAAAACTCCATCCATCCACAAACACACCATCTTCATACTTCTTACTAACAATAAACCCCAACGCCCCGTCCAATCCCACACTAACCTCGATATCCCCCTCAATCTCCGCCCACCCCTTTCCCTTGAGCTCCTCATACCGTCTTGACCCGACCCTGACCCTCACAGCGTCAGGATGCAACAGCACACTCCCCACATCCGGCGTAATCTTGACATCGACATAGCGCTGCGAGAAGGTCGACGGATCAAACGGTTTCCCGACGCTGAAAACAAGATCACGGGGAGGAGTATGCGTGCTATTGTGGAAGGAGACGAGGAATTGGACTTTGTATTTGCCCTGCGGTATACCTGTTTTTATCGTGCGGAGACAGATGTTGTCGGCTTCGATGCACTGGTACACGGCGGCTTCTTCGCGGCGGCCATCGTGGTCAAGGTCTTCGGCTACGGGGAAGATGCGCTTGAGGCGGCCGGTTGCGTTGTCGAGGGCGAGTCCGCTTTCGCCACTGGGCGAGAGGTCGCGGTATTGAGACATGCGTGGTATATCATCGAGGTGCGGGGAAATGCCTAACGGCATACCCGTTTTGAAGTCGACCTGCGCGAGTTGGAAGGAGGAATCAAGGAGGCCGCGTCCGGTCATGCCTAGACGGAAGTGGGAAGCGCTGATTTCGAATTTGGGGGGTAAGGCGGAGAGTTTGGCCATGCGTTGGCCAAAGTCTTTGGCGGACCGGATTTGCTCGCCGTCGTTCATGTAGAGTTCGGTTAGGGAGGCCATTTCGTCTTCTTTCATCCATTGTTCTAGGCTGACGTCTGCGAGGCCGCGGTCGACGTCGAAGCGGAAGTATTTGGTGTCGGAGTTGTTGTACATGCGCTTCATTTCGTTGTCGACGCGTGCGGTGCTTGTTGCCATGCCGGTGAGTGCGCTGGCTATCGAGATGTCTGTTCCAAGGCCGAAGGGTAGCCATGATGCCATCTTCTTTACGCTGGGGATGCTTTGTAGGCCGGTGCCGACGGAGACTATGACGCCGATGGAGCGGCCTTCCCAGAGTGCTTTTGCCGCGTAGTCGACTTCTGCGCATGGGTTGTTGAAGCCTACCCCGCCGTCTAGATAAGTGACTTTGGGCGTACCGAATTGCATCTCTTCGAAGAAGGTCGGTGCGGCGGATGTAGCTCTTAACGCTTCCCAGATTCGCGTCGTGCGGTCATTGGGATCGTAGGTAGACAGGATTCGGGGAAGGCCTAACGCGTTCTTGAGGGAAGTAAGTACAAAGCCGCGGCACCCCTTTGCGTTTGCCTTTTTGTGAACTGATTGCCGGTGATGTAGCCTCCAAGTAGCGCTTCGCATTGGCTTTCGCGGGCCGAACGGACTGTCGCTAAAGAGTGTGGACAAATTCTTCGTACTATCGACCGTTTCAGGAGGACCTGACTCTAAAGAGCATAGCGAGTTCTTGAGTGTGCCGACCGGGCTTTCTGTGATTACCGGTGCTGGCGGCGCATCTGCCCAGATGCTGTCTCTGGGTAGATCAGCCGCTTCATCCACCTCTTCAAACAGCGCCTCATCCCACATCAGTTCATCTGGATCGAAGCCTAGCTCTTTCAACGCAGACTTGATGGCATTTGCGAGAACGGCACCGGAGAACCGACTTGCTCCTGTGGGGATCTTCATGCCAAATGCCTTTATCGATCGGTCGTGCTTGAAGATCTGCTCTGCCAATTTACTGTATACAGCGATGCAGGTTTTGCAATCGAGTCGCAATCGTGACAGCATGATGGCTATTATGCCACCCGTTGATGTGCCACCAATAAGGTCGAAGTAGTCGCACGGCTTTAGCGGTTCGTGGTCGTTCATGGCTTTCCTTCCTAACCTCTTCTCTTCCAAGGCTATGTTCTCCATCAGGTTCTGAAGGACCAACAGAGACGACAGGCCCCGTACACCCCCTCCATCCAGCGAGAGCAAGCGCAGCGGCGCGTTGTCATTTCTCTCTGGGTTCGAGGATTCCATGGTTGTTGGCGCCGAGAAAGGCAACAGATGTCGGTGTCGTCAGTATCAGTTTCTGGCGATCTGGGTTTTTCGTGAACGGCGATGCTATACGGTGTTTTGAATACAGTCGCGAGACGTTTGCTTGTGAGTGTAGGATACTGCACTGAAGTTGTCGAGTCAAACACTAAACCCGCCTCCAACTCATACGCATGACTGGCACGAGGCGGCCTCTTTCAAATCGATACGTGTTACAGTGGCAACGACGAGGCGTGATTCAGATGTTGAGTCGTCTGCAGAAAGGTTACAAGGCTGCTTACAAGGCTGCGCTTTGTAGTATGAAACAAATGACGTGCCACCAGGGCAGAAACGCGATCTCAGAATGCTACCAGAATATCATCGAAACCCACGGGAAGTGGGAACAAGCTTCCTATAAGTCCTGTGCCACACCCCCCACATAACTACAGTTTGATGTGCTGTTCCGCGTCAATGCAAACATGGAGAACGCTCGAGGCATACGGGTATCCATTTGGGGGCCATCTTACGCGCCTGCTTAGCCTATGGTAGCTAGATCAGGCCCACCTTTACACAGAACAAGGCTACGCGCTGCGCCACGACGGATGTGCGGCGCAGGCGGTCTGGATATAGCACAGACAATGTATGTTTACCTTGGGAGTTCATGTGTTGCGAGTTGCATCTCCAAAAAGAGTAAAGTTGGTGAACAAATATCAGGTGGCGGGTGCAGCGGGGAGAATAGGCAGCTAAGGCCTGGTGAGGCTGTCTGCTGCGCTTGTCAGATGTGTCAACCAATCACTAGCGCCGCACGATGGGGCTGCGTGCTATCAAGGTCAGCTGCCAGACGCGGGTGATGTAAGCTCTGCATGCGTGCAGCTGAGGCTCCGCAGCACGACAGGGTGCGCCGCTCGCTCGCTCAGAGTCGTCGACGAAGATTATGTTGGAATCAAACCAGGGCTGTAGTGCCCTGTGCTCTATTAGATTACAGTGTATACCCATATGTTAAAACGCTTGTGACCGTGAATGCAGACCGTAAATGCAAATCGGTTTCTAAATGCGCCCATATATCCAAACCCGGGGTATTATAATCAGATGCCGTGTGACGCCATGCATGCCCTCGTCTTGAAGTCGTTAAGTCATAAATCGTGATCGTTAAAGTCGCTCTGCAGCGCGGAGTCCGCTAGTCATATTCTACGCCAAGTTAGTGAGTGCTGCGTGGAAGGTGCGTTGGCAGAACTCACAAGTAGTTTTGCGCGGTATGCTTCCCAATGTTGGTCGTAAATTTGTTGCAGCATCATGTCCGACTCCTTCGCTCTTAGTGTGCGAAGTGTCTCCATTTTGGGACTGTCCTTCCTCCTCAACTTTTGCCTGGGGACGTAGATCGGGGAAGGCGAAGGCTTGATGGTCCAATGAGACGGCGGAAAATAACTTAGCGACTGCGAGCGAGCGTGTGTTGTTGGCACCATTGGAGAGCCAGGTGGTGACGTGGCAGGTGTTGATGGGCTCGATGCAGAAAAACTGGCCGCTTCAGAGAAGACAGATGGCGATGGCGATGAAGTCGCAGAGCTGTTGGAGATGACGGGTGACAGTACTATCGGCGATGGGGGTTCCACAGGAGCGAATCGGGTGGGACCGGGTCGTCGCGCACTTCCCTTGCCAGAAAGTGGTGATGGTCTTTTGATGTCAACAACACGGGGGGTCCTCTGCGGAGTCGCGAATTGCGACTTGGTGGTTTTCGCTTTTGGGTTCGGCGTGGTGTTGGGTTCCTTACGTGGCAGCGCTGGTGACGTGGGCTCCTTGGTGGTGGTGTGGGCCGATTGCGACGATCGCACTCCCTCTCCGCGCGACAACGGCGATGGCTTTCTTTCGGCGGCAACAGCGCGTCGCACCTTGGATGGCAGCGTGTTCCTCCTGCCAAACAAAGGTGTCGGGCTTTTGACGATGTCGTCGGCGTTGAACTGGAAAGGTTCGGATGGCCGAGATGGTAGCGATGGTCGGACGGATTGTGACGGCAGCGAGTTGCTCCTGGCGAAGAGGGGCTTAGGGACCAACTCGGTTTGTCCTCCAAAGTGGAACATGGGCGGTCCTTTCATCTCCATCTCCGGGTTCTCTGATTCCTTTGCTGGCGTCGTGGGCGGCGATGTTTTGCATTTGTACTGATAGAAGACGCGATGCGGATTGCGTCGCGGGACGGGGGGTGTTTTGCATAGCGTCAACGTCTCGTCCAACAACACGTCGAGATCCTCCTCCATCTTCCTTTTCATAGTAAACGCGATCCGGTGGTAGTCGATGTTGCAGCCCCGGCAGTGCGAAGCGAAATGGATAAGTAGGTGATGAGGCGTAAGCAAGCGAGACGGGTGTCTATTCCTGACACAAAGCTGAAGGTTCCATGGGAGTGTTAGGGGAAAAGGAACGGATCACCCGCCTCCTCTACAAAGTTAATTAGTCGGTCAGGTCCTTGATTCCGTGCGCAACACGCGAGCCAGCGCTAGACGTCATTGGACAAGCCGCTGGCGCTGCAAG